TGGCGGTGAGACCACCCCGTGTGGGCAGCTGTGGTCCTGCTGACCAGCTCCTGCCCAATGTGCAGGGGCGTCCTGCCAGGCTTGTGGAGTGGAGACATGCCAACCCAGGTGTGGGCACCCACATGCCCCGGGGTGCTTCTGCTCCCGTCAGATGTGCCGAGTGCAAGGAGATGGGTGGCCCAGCTGTGCAGAGAGGGCAGAAGCAGGGTGGGTGCTGTGAGCCAGAGGAGACTCCTGTCTGTCTGTCATCTTCTGCTTCCCCTGGTCCCTTCAGCACCCCTTGGTCAGCAGTGTGACGGTGTGTGGCCGTGCTCCGAAAGCTGTGCCAGTCCCCAGCCCTCCTGCACCTCCGGCCGCCCCCGCGTCCAATACAGCTGGAGGTTTCAGTTCTGCATCTCCGCTGCCCAAGGGGAACTCAGCCAGCGAGAGCGAAACTCGGTGGCTCCAACGGTTGCACATGGTCGCCGCCCCCCCGCCGACACCCCCTCGTGTCCCCCAGGTCCTGGCAGGGCCAGCAGCCGCTGTCGCAACACCTGCAGCGACAGCTGTGCCACGCTCGGCCCCTGTGACCTTCCCTGGAGCGCAGCTCAGCGGGGACAGAGCGGTCGCCCAGCTCCCCTGCCCAAATCCAGGGACTCGATTTGGGCAGGGAGCCCGTGCTGGGACTCTTTGGGGCAAAGCCTCTGCAAGGTTACCTGGAGGAGCAGGGAAATGCCCCTCCACGATTCCCACCCTGCCTCAAGCTGGGGACACCTTCACCTCATCCCTGTGCAGGTTTGGAGGAGCTCCAGTGGTGGTGGTTGCATTCTGGGTGGTGTGAATGTGCCCTCAGCACAGCTGGCTTGTGCCATCACTCTTGGGCCGTTGCTCACCCCTGTGCTGTCATGCCAGGCAGCCGAGCCTCCCGTGCCACTGGAGGTGGGTTTCTCCCTCCTGGCTTGACACGCTGCCCTCCTGTCCCCCTTTCCACAGCCCCCTGTGCTGTGCTGCTGTGATGGAGCCGCCGTTCCTCGCTCCATTTAACCACCAGCCTGTCCTGCCCAGAGTGGGATCTCTCCCAGTTTGTCCCTTCCCACCTCTTGATGTCAAGCCAGAGGAAACCCAACTGTAAAAGACTCATCAGGTCTAATTAAGCCCTGGGGATATTCCCAGTGGCTGGTGCAAACCAAAGGCCAGGCCATGGCTGAGATGCTTTAGTTTCATGGGCTGGAGAAATGGAGAAAATTGGAGAAACATGGAGAAAGTTCTTTTTTTTTTATTTTTTTATTTTGTCTGCTCCTTGCTGTTGCTGGGACCCTCCCAAAACCAACCTGGCACAGCCTGGGAACTGGGATCTGGGATCTCCCTGATTTGGGGTGGGCGTCCATGGACTCCTGGCAGAGGAGCGGCGAGCTGAACTGGGAGCCCAGGGTGGGGAAGTTCAGGTTTGGCATCCAAATGTTTGCAGCCCTGACCCCATTGCTGAAGGAAACATGAAAAAAGAGGAAGGAGAGATTGCGGTCGCTGCTCTTCCCTTCCACAATCTGCGCCTCCCTCTTGGCTCCTTTGGCTCCGGGGCTGGTTTTTCTGCCCATCCATCTCCCCTTGGCTTTCCTGCCATGGCAGTGGCCATGGATTGTTTATTTGGGGGTATTACATGTACGCAGGACTTGTATATATTGGGGGTTTATATATATGAGAATAAATATATATTTGGGGGGGTTATATATAGGAGAATATGTATATTTGAGAGGGGCTTATATATGTGGGAATGTATATATTTGGAGGGTTATATATACAAGTGGGAATACAAATATTTGGGGGGTTATATATATGGGAGTATGTATATTTTGGGAGGGTTGTATATAAGGGAATATGCATATATTTTGGTGGCATTATATGCCTGTGGAATATGCCTGTGTTTGGGGATATTAGTGAAGACTGGCTGTGGCTTGGGGGCTGCTGAGCATCAGCTGAGCAGATATCCAGGGAAGTCTCCGGAAGCCATCCCTGCACATCCTCTGGGATCCTTCTGGGCAGGCTGGAGCAGCTCCCAGCATCCACTGCCTTTGCATGGCAGGTTGTGCCAGCCCTACTGCATCAGTTAAAAACGGGGGTCCCAGGAGGTCCCCCCTGCCCTGAGGAGTTTTGGTTTGTCGCTTGGCGAAACTGAAGCTTTGGTTTTCAAACAGGAACAATGTTATCGCCTGCTCAGCATTTCTGCCCCAAAGCTGGACATAAAAAGGTTGTCTCCTCTTTCCCCTTTTTCCTCCCCTCCTCTTTTCACTCAGAAAGGGGAATTCACTTGCTTTTGCCGCCTCCATCCCTCCCCTACATGATTTTTTTCCCCTCAGCTTATGAAATAACAGAACATTTTGAAAACACGATACTTTTCCCCTTTCCTGGGCAGCATTTCTTTGTTTATAACAAGAAGGCTTCAAAGGCAAATGTGTGACAGGGGTGAGAGCTGTGGGCTGTGTAGGGGCCATGGGGGCTGCTGGTGGCTCAGCCCGGCCCAGCCCCAGCCCCTCACTGGGAGCTGGTCTCACAGAGCTGCAGCAGGTGAGACGGTGACCTTTCAAAATACTCCAGAATCCAGAGTTTCTGGGAGCAGTGCCGGGATGGTCATCCACTGGGGCACAGGATGTGCATGGACAGACATGGGGAGATGGCAGTGCTGACAAGTGGGGGCTTTGATCCTTTACAGCAAAAAATGCTGCAAAAATGGGGTTTACTGGTGCTGGATGTACCACTGGGTCCAAAGAGCAATGGCTTCTGCAGCTTGGCCGGGGTGTGAAGCAGCCCTGGAGCTGTGGGGCTGGAGAGGGTCGAGCCTTTGAGCTGGTGTCTGTGTGCACTGGGGGCTCCAGACTGTCACCCCATGCATGCTGTTCATCCCTGTCTTGGGTGACACTGGGGTGTGATCCTGCACTGTGGGCTAAATACCCTGAGACTGATCCTGGTCCCTCTGGAGTTTCTCACCTTGCCTTGCCCCAGTGGTCGGCAGAGGCACTGCCATTAGTTGTCACGATCTGGGGACTGTGACACGGCCAAAGGCTTCATGGAATTGGGTGTTGTCTGACAGTTGTTGTCCTGACAGCCTGGTGGGCTCTGGGAGCTGAGGATGGGGCTGCTGCCAACAACCAACCATGGGCAGTTCTGTCGGTGCAAGGGTCTGTGTGAGCAGTGACCGTGTGGCTGTACCAGCTGTCCTGTGGCACTCTGGGGATCCTGGAGCCCACGGAAACACACGCTCATGGCTTGTCTACCGGCGTCCCCCACGGAGGGGAACAACTCTGTGTACAGATATATGAGGTCTTGCTTGGCCAAGTGTCCCCCATTGCATCCCAGTGAGCTGGCAGAGCTGGCCTTGAGCCCCCCGAGGCAGGGGCGGTTCAGCTGCGCAGAGCAGAGCCAACCTGGGGCAAACCTCAGCCACATCCTCCACCCAGCCTAGCCCGTGGTCCCTGGTCCCCGTGTGGCTCTGCCACCAGCCCTGCAAGGCACTGCTGAGACCAACAAGAGCTGCTTGGACACCGAGGGGGAGCTCAGAAGCCTGTCGAGAGTCCCTTTGCAATAAACACCAGCTTCCCTCATCCTGGCTGGGAGTGTGGCATTCGCAAGGTGGAGCTTCTTCTGTGGGTCCCCTTGTCCCCACGTGGTCGGTCATTCTGTAGAATGCTCTGTTTTATTCAGGGAAATAAAGAGGTGGTTCTGGGCGGCTCAACAGGTTGGTCTGGGCATTGACAGGTGCAAATGGGGCAGGAGCCCCAAATCATTGTGCCCACTACTCCCCCATTGTGGAGGTGACAGTCAGACTCATCTGTTTGTCCTGATGAGAGAAACCTTGCAACTAGTCCATCTGGAGGACCCCAGATGATGTGGCATGACGTTGGAGGCTGGAAAGCTGCTTGCACCTCAGCTGTTTTGGGGTGTCCCCTCTGCTCAGCTCCTTAGGAGTGAGGGGTAGGTGCAGCCCCGACTGGAGCCACACGCTCCTCACTCGGGCTTTGTTCAGGCTGAATTTTGTAATGCCAGGAAATGAGCTGGCCGTGGGAGGGGAGGCAGCCGGGGGAGGAAGGCTGGTTTTGTGGTTGGAGCGGAGGATGAGGACGCCGGAAAGCCGAGCACAATTCCTCGCTCTGTTGCAGGCACTGGGGGTGAGGCTGCAGCTCGGGAGCTGATGGTGTGTTCGGAGAGCGGGTGTTGGCCTCCATGCCTCGGTTTCCCTTTTGTTCAGCAATGCTCCTCTTGCAGGAGTGTGCCCTGGGGATGGGCTCTGCACAGGGCAGGGGCTGTCCCACGTCGGATGGTGACTGGTAAATGAAATGATGAGACTGGCTGAAGCTGCTGGGCTTTGCCCTGTGGGTCACCTCCTATCTCCCAGTGGCGAGTGGGATGAGTTCAGCAGCCACATTTCCTCCTGGGCCGTGGCAGTTTCTCCTCGTGTGGGCTGTGCTCGCTCTCCAGGAGGGTATCTGAGCACGCAGGTTGGTGCTTTTCCCTGTGGGATGTGTGTGAGGGTCTTCCCAGAAATCGCCGGTTCACCTAAAACCTTGAGTGACTTGCTGCTGGCCACGCTGCCAGCCTGAACTGTGTCCCTCATTAATGATAACTTTCGGTTTACCATTTGTTTCATTCCTGAACTCTTTTTAGCTACTTTCCCCCTGGTCTCTTTATACATGTCTCCCTCACTCCCTTTCCCCCTTTCCTTTCACGGTCCCACAAGTTCCTGTGTCCTGTCCCCACCTCGGACACTGGGATGCTCTCCGTGCATAGCCTCAGGGCTCCTGGTTCCCTGCAGGCTCCCAGCCAGGTCCCACCCCACCTGCGTGGCCTTAGCAGTGATGCTCAGGTTCAGGGTGGCGAAGGAGGGGACCTGCGGCCAGGACTTCAGCAGGGGACACTGGGAGCCCCTCACTGTCCCCTGCGGCCACCATGCCAGACAGATGGGGTGTGTGGGGAGCCCTGTCCTTGCCTCCATCCCCTCAGACTGATGGCTGCTCGCTTTGTCTTTGCAGTTGGATTGAGGAGTTGTGGCTGCAGCTCATCCTTGGCAGGAGTAGAAGATGCAGGAGGCTGCGTAGCAGGTATAGTGGAAATCCCAGCCTCTGGGCTCCTGCCTTCCCCCTTGGCTTCACTTGCCAGGGACTGTGTTTCTGCAGGCTGGGGGTAAACAGGGGGTCCCCACAGAGGTCACCCAAGCTGGGTGCAGCTCAGGGGCTCAGAATCCCACAGTGGTGCTGACCAGACCCTGCAGCCCTGCTCTGGTGGCAGGAGGAACAGCAGGTCCTGGTGCTGCAAGGGCACAGGGAACATCCTGCCTGGCTGTGCACCCCTCACGTGCTGCCGCACACGGGGGTCCCAGTGAGTGGGACGGGGCAGCAGAGCCTCCAGAGCAGGGCAGGAAGGTGGCACCCAACAGTGGGTGTCACTGCTGTTCTCCAGTGCCCATGCTCCCCTTCGCTTCCCTGCCTGGCACAGCTCTGCTGAGTCCCAGCCATGGCCCCAGCAGTGATCTGGGACTCTCTGGGATTTTTGCAATGCATCACTTTGTATCCGTGCAAAGGAGGGTTTTCCTGGCCTGGTTTCTCCCTGTGTGGACGAGACATGTGGCTAAACCTGCTGTTATTTTGTCCCTTGCATTCCTCTGAAATAAGGTGCCCCTGGGAGAGGGCATCATGTCCAGGTTTTTTCCCTTCTCAACCTTCTTGGCCTGTTTATTGCTCTTACAGTAAATGTTTGCGTCTCCTGTGTCTGCAGTGAGGTTGTGGTACAGACACCACCGTGGGCCCAGTTTATGAGGGCTCTACAGTTTCATGTAATGCATCTTCTGTACCTGAGAGTAAAATCAATAAAAAGGAAAGATTTTTAAAAATAATCTGCCCCCAGCTCCTGAACGGAGGGAGCTCTGTTGCCGCTGCTTAGTGAGCAGTTTTGTGGGGTTGTGATGGCTTTTTAGTGCCGGAGAAGGGGCAGGTAATTTATGTAGAGGCCTGATGCTGGGAGATGGGGACAGCATCGCTGCTTCCTCCGCAAGGTCAGCACCAAGGGCTTCATCTGCTGATAGAAACCAAGAGCAGCTCCCCAGCCTGGATTGGGGTGAGTGCAGCAGACAGGCCTCACTGTATCTCAGTGTGCCAGGGATGGGCCGTGGTGTGCTGGAGGAGAGCAGGGCTGGAGGGCTTGGCTGGGTCTGTCCTGCTGCAGCTCGGCCGAGCACGGTGTTGTGGGAGTGTTCCAGGGGGTGGTACGGGACCGTCTCTGGTCCACTCGCTCTGCGAACGTGTTTTAGTGCAGTGAATGACTACATGGAGCACTGTAGTGATGGGTCTGTCTGCTGTGGGGTGTGTGTGAGGGCAGGACCCTCCTTGGGTCCCAAGTACTGTGGTCCTGGTGCTCTGTGTGCTCCTGTGCCCCAGCCCGGATGCTGGTGGGCACTGGCAGGATCTCTCTGTAACTGCGTTCTCCCCCACATCACGGTTTGCTGCTGGAGACAGGATGCTCAGCTCTGCCGGCTCCATCCTGACCAGTGACAATGGCTCCTTATTTTTTAGGCTCACACAAATTCTTGTTTTTTGGGTCGGCAGTGTCCTCCCACGAAGCCCCTGCTTCCACTGGCGCCTGCACAGAGTTTTGAGGTGGGGAGGAGCAGTTTAGTGATTTCTGCCACTGCAGAACTGCTCGCTCCAAGGAGCAGTGCAGCAAGTGGTGCGCTTAGGGAGGAGGATTTGGAAAAGCACCTCCAGGGACTGCTTTGAGACTCATCCCCTTCTCTCTGCGAGCAACAGGAGCCGAGCAATTAGAGGAGCAATATTGACCCAGCCTGGGAAGCGTGACACAGCCTGCACCGGGCGATTTAATCCCAACGAAGCCACGTCCTTGCGTCCTGGACGTGCAGCATCGCTGCCCATGATCAATAGGCATTTTGTCTTTCTGAGGCCAGTCCTGTTTGAGGCACACCAGGAAAACCTTGTTCTGCAGCAGAAAACTCTTCTAGGGCCTGTGACCTTAATTGAATTGACTCTTTTATGTCCTGAAGACAGTCGCATCACCTCCCTGCAGCCATGCTCGGTAAATCATGTGTCTGTCCCCGCATGCACACACCCCGGGGTCTGTACCAGCCTTGCTTCTCTCCCGATGAGATTTTGCAGCCTGAGGCTGATTTCCAGCTGCTTGGGAAGAGCCCTTGGGTCACCAGATCTGCTCCTCCACTGTCTGAGGCCTTGCCTGTGTTCTCTTGAAGGTTTAATGGTGGTGGAGACTGGAGTTGGCAGCTTCCAGGCTCCAGCCATGCTCGAGGTGCAAGTGTGCCACCTTACCTGGCACCTGGCTCTTTGCATCTGGTGGGATCTTCCTTCTCTCTCCAGGGAGAGCTCATAAAAGCCAGCTGGTGGGCACACCAAAACCTAAACCTCCACTTCTTGCCCCTTTGGGACATGGGATCCTGGATTTGGTAAAGCAGTGGGTTCCCGCTGCCCTTGTGGCAGCTGAAATGTGGCCGAGCTGCTGGAGGTCACCTTTCCAGTCCCTGCGGAGCCGGGCGGCCTTTCCTGGTCACGGCTCTGCCCTGCGCTTTGGGTTCTGAGCTCATCCGCTATTTTGCCACTGGCAGGGGGAAAAAAAATGTCTTCAAAGCCCTTTTCCCTTGGGGAAAAGCCAACTTGGTCAGAAATGTCTGCGCAGAAATGTCATCTAACCCAGCAGCTGGCTCATCCTCCCCGGGGGTCCTACGGCGACCGTCCCCGCGTCCCCGGGTTTGGGGTGGTGGAGGAAGCGAGACCAGGGCGCTGTTTTTGGCAAGCTCTGGCCGCTCCCTTCCCCCCACACGCTTCACCACCCCCTCCTGCCTCCGCATCTGCCTCTGCCCTTCAGCCGCCGCCGAGCGCCCCGGTGCCCCCCAGGCAGGGTCTGGAGGGGACTGGGGGGCCGGCCAGTGGCCTCGGCAGCGGTGACGGTGGCTCGGGCACGGCGGCTCCATCCCGTGTGCTTCCTCCCGGCCGCCAGCGCGCAGCAGCCGTGGAGAAGGACGCAGCCACCCTGTCTCCTGTAAGTACCTCTCACTCTTTCCACTGGAGAGTTAAAATTAGCAACTTCTTTTTTTAAAGCAGGCGTCGCTTTAAACCTCGCCAGCCCAACTGGGTTTCCTTTTATTCCCCCCACTCCCCCGCCCCCGGCTCCTTTTCTCTTGATTTTTTTTTTTATTTTGTTGTTATTGTTGAACGTGTGCGTGCACTTTTCTCCTTTTTTATTTCTTTATTTCCCCCCCCCCCTTCGTTTCGTTCCTTCCTTTTTTAAACACGGGTGACGCTGCAGTGTCGGTGCGGAGTTCGGAGCCAAATAAACAGCCCGGCGCACCCCCACCCCGATCGCCTTACAGAGCCTGGGGCAGAGCCCAGCGCCGAATTTAGACCCTTATCTATTGTCAGCCTCCGCGGTCGCCGCTGCTCTGCCAGGGGGGGTTGCCCTGGACCCCCTTGTTGCTTCTGACACAGATCCTCGATGTGAGTTTGCCTCTTGTTGTTTTCCCCTCTCCTTTGTGTTCGTGGTAAAGCACTGAAGTGCCCGTAAATCAGGACCCGTTGCTTTTATCGAGGGTTGCGTGGGCAGGGAAGGAGAGAGGGGGTGTGGGTGATGGGGGGTTCCCCTGCTGGAGAGAGGGGGAAACTGAGGCACGGAGGAGGGGAGACAAGGCTCACCGACGGGGAGTGGGTGAGCCGGGATTTCCTCCTCTTAAAATCAAAACAAACATAGACAAGGAAGGAAAAGGCAGCAGGCGTGGGCTCAGATGCAGGATCGGTGCCTGTCCCGGGGGATGAATTCCTCTGGGAAGCTCGCGCTCACGGGTCCCCTGTGGCAGGGACGGTTCCAGGGGTGACACTGTGCGGGTGGAGGGTGCTGCGGCCGGAGCTCTGCTGCGCCGGGACGGGGCCGGCAGTTGGAAGTGGACGTCCCAGCCCGGATCTGCGAAAGCAAACAGGAAGGCGAGTGGGGAGCAGCTGCCGTGTTAACTCGGAGGTTATTTATTGTGGTTCCTCTGAGGTTGGTACCGAGGGTCTTTAATACCCTCCTGCTCAGTGCCGGATCCTCTTGGCCGGGGCTGGATGCCCGGTGCGGCGGGAGCTCACACCGGGCACAGCGGAGGTGAGCTGGGTACCACGCACCGGGCATCAGGGGCGGCAGGAATGTCACACTGGGGCTCTCTCTCCAGTTCCTTCTCCTCCCTTGACTGTTTCTTAAATGCTTAGTTTGCTCTAGAGCCCAGCCTGGCCCAGGTGGAGGTGGTGGGGGTGGATGTGATAGGGCTGGGACCAGTGCTGGGCTTGGCTCATCCTAGGAAAAGTTTTCTCTATTCAATTTTTTTTCAGAGGTTTTTGTGCTGTTGCTGCTTTGGGGTGAGAGTTAATAGTACTGATAAATTGCTTATCCACGCCTGTGAAAATGGAGATGTGGAGCCTGTAGGAAGGGGGTCAGCATTCTTCAGAAGTGCTTTTAGTGTTTCCCTCCCAAGAGGGAGGGAAAAGTGTTTCCCTTCCCAGGTGTGCACTGCCCTGGCTCTTATGCTCATGGATGGCTTGAACACAACCAGGACTGGAGGCTAAACTGCACTTTGGGCTAAACACAACCCTCTACCCATTACTGGGGGTGGATGAGGCGGGTTCTCCCCTCTGCTTGACTTGGGGGAACTTGTCACAGGATGGTCCTTGTTGTTGCAGGAGCTACTACAGGGTCCTGGGACCTACTACAGGGGTTTGGAACCGAGTGGCTGCCCCAATACTGCCCTGGGCTGCAGAGCCCTTTCCTCCTCCTTCTCCTCCTCCTCCTCCTCCTCCTCTTCCTCCTCCTCCTCTTTTGGGCAAACAACCCATCAGGGCAATTATTTATTGACACAGTTTTACATCCCCATCCTTCAGCAAAACTTTTGACTGAAGTATTTTCATTTCTACCTGCAAACTTGTGCCTCACTTTTTCTCTTCCCCCCCCCCTTTGCATGTATGCATAAGAAACTGCCTTATTTGAGTTTTTTTCCCCAGTATTTACCCTTTTCCAAGAGGGATCGTGGCTGATGTTTATCCGTGACACTCCTGCA